AAAATGATTGCTAGTAAAGCATTGCTTTGACCTGAACATCCATATTACGTATTTTTTGGAATGGAATTTGCCGTAGAGTTGAAGAACATTCAGAAATGATACTCCGGTTACTCTAGCTATTCCGGTCGCCATTTTGATTGTGGACGAGCAAAGAGACTGGTAGGTACAACACAGGCAGCCCAATATCTCGAACTCTCAACCTCGTCCCCAGGGCCATCTCGGCCGACTCCTTTTCAAGATGGCGGTCGTCGGGGAGATGACCCAACCACAGGGAGCCCAAGCAGTGACTTTGAACCTATAATGGTTAAAAATAAAATTTTACTTAAAAAAATGGTCTACTTTTATTTTATTCAGTGTCACAATGCATTATAGATGGGTTTAAAAAAATATCCCCTACCTATATATATATAGTGACAAGGGAGGAGACTCCGCTCGAAATTCTCCCAAAAATGAGCCAAAAACGATCGACAAAAATCCTTTTTTCGCACCGAAATTAAATAAAAACGAAGTTTTATCTGAGACAGCATATGTAAATCAACGTTTTTTACCTTATTTTGGACGAGAGGCATCGATAGAAACTCTTTTCGGGCAAACAAATCCAAAAAAGTGTCCCCAAAAATATCCCAAACCCATCCGTGTCGATGGTTGCCTGAGGCCACTTGCGCGCGCAAAATGAACACTTGACAAAATTGGAGACTATGGGGTGGCCACTCGGGACAGTTTCACCTGTCAAGGAGCACATCGCAACTCTGCTTCATCGGGTTCTTTTGAGTTTCTTACAKATAACTGCATACTTCAGATTACTATATTTGAAAATTTMAGAAGCGAAAACTTTSAAAATTATACTATGGACTTGTTTTTCGAAATTATACGAACTGAACACTGAAAAAACCGAGCAGCTTTTTTCAAGAGYTTAACTATTTCATAGGTTAATTAACTATGTTATTTTTGTTAAAAAAACTTGATATTAAATGTCATCAGGTCTATTGAGATCGTTGAGTGTTAACTTTACGAAAAAAAAAAAAAACTATTAACTAGTTTACTATTTTCGTCAAAAAACTTGAGATAAAGAGTCAGGTGAGATCGTCGAGTTTAAACTATGCGAAAACGGCGACAAATTGTAAGATTTCGAGTCTCGATAACTTAGAGATGTTAACCACTGTTCATATTTATATCAAACTAAAGCTAACAAATAGAAAAACGTACCATTTTTACCAAATATATGAGAGTTGCGATGTGCTCCTTGACAGGTGAAACTGTCCCGAGTGGCCACCCCATAGTCTCCAAATTTGTCAAGTGTTCATTTTGCGCGCGCAAGTGGCCTCAGGCAACCATCGACACGGATGGGTTTGGGATATTTTTGGGGACACTTTTTTTGGATTTTTTTGCCCGAAAAGAGTTTCTATCGATGCCTCTCGTCCAAAATAAGGTAAAAAACGTTGATTTACATATGCTGTCTCAGATAAAACTTCGTTTTTATTTAATTTCGGTGCGAAAAAAGGATTTTTGTCGATCGTTTTTGGCTCATTTTTGGGAGAATTTCGAGCGGAGTCTCCTCCCTTGTCACTATATATATACATGGAGGGGAAATTTTTTTAAACCCATCTATAATGCATTGTGACACTGAATAAAATAAAAGTAGACCATTTTTTTAAGTAAAATTTTATTTTTAACCATTATAGGTTCAAAGTCACTGCTTGGGCTCCCTGTGACCCAACCAACACGGGCAGCAGGGACATTTGTTGGCGCTGACCGCACGTATATCGCAGGCAACGCATGAAAGTTGACGTTTTTCATAAAAAGRCGGGAAWGAAAGAMTYTTGAAAATGCCTCACTTTTTGTTCAAGATCAAAAGATATTTGAGAAAATTCTACCAAGAATAGCGAAAGAATGGGGTCTTTTGTTTACAACGTGCTTGTTTTTAAGCGAAAATGATGTCTTATTTGGAAATGAGAGGCGATCTTCCACACAGGACACGAACGGCTGAACATTTTATGAAACCACACCATATCATGAAAAGTCAAATTTCTCAACAGTGAGATCAAAAAAGCCATCCATA